AGTGGGGCAGGATGTGGCTGCTTTCTGTGGATCTTCCAGAAAGAGCAGGCACCTCAGCAGGATTAAGCTGTTGTGCTGCTCTGGGCCACTTGACAGCTACGCCATCGTGGAAGCGGCACACCACTGCCGTTTCCATTCAACGCCAGGCTGACTTCCAACCCATCCTGGGCTGCAGTCCTCCCCCTGCAGAGGATTACCGCCACAATCACAGCTCCGGTGGACTTAGCACAGCCACAATGAGCAACAGCAAACACTTTCTCAGCACTGTCAGCTGACAGCCCAGAGCAGCCGAAAACAACACAGAAAGAAATGATGGGGCAGCAGCTGACTAAGCCACCCGGATTAGAGAAGCTCAAATGGGGCTGAAAAGCAGCATAGCAGCATGTACCACTAACCCAGCAGAGCTGCAGCTCCAGCCCCCATCTCAGTTCACCCAAACACAGTCAGCTGGCTCCTGACTCCGAGCACGCCGAGAAGGGGCACAAACACCGATGCTGCAACACAGAAGTCAGGCAAGAGGGAAAGGGCAGCCACCTGCAGATAACCATCACCCTCAACATACACATCACCTGCCAGGGTAGCTATGACAGCATCCATAAAGGCAAAGGGTCTTCTGTCTCCATCCTGGGGTACAGACCCACAGACCAGTTGTGGGTCTCTGTGCTACAGCACTGTGGCTTGCACCCAGGTATTTGCAAACCACAATCTCCACCGCCACACTGCAGCACATAAAAAGACCCATCTCTCTATATAGTCCCTGAACTGCCATGTACCTGGAAGACGCCACAAGAGGTTATTACATCTCAGGTAACCCTCAGGTGAAAGACACAGCCTTCACTTTGCAAAACTGCACACTTGATACTCTGCAAACCTCAGCTCTGCCTGTAATTGGTGGCACAGTCTGAAAAGCGGCCCTTCATGAGCAGCACTGCTACCTTGCTAGCCATGGCCACCAAGGCACATCAGAGATGGCCATTTTGCACAGGAACAGGGCAAGAGAAACTCAGGGATTTCACCAGCACCTCTGAAATTTAGCAATCAGCAGCTCCAAAAAGGATCTTTTCTCACAATCAAGACAGGGCAATTAAAGCAGTAAAACAACAAAAGCAAGAGATTGCTAAGCAGCAACAGCTTGTTCCAGGGATCTTCTCAAGTGTCCCAGGGTGACACACACAGCCTAGGAAAACAGGCAATGGATGATGACACTAGAAGCCAGGCAACTCCTCCAGCAGTGCCCTCCACCTCATCCTTCCCCCTCCTCTTCCTCCTCTTCTGCTGCAGACCCAGCACCTTTGCTGGGCTGGCTCAATACAGAGCCACTACAAGGAGGGTCTCTCCTTCTGAGGGATAGTTCTCCTACTCCAGGAGCTCTGCTTACAAATCAGAGAGTGTGTCTGCTGCACAGTCAGCACTGATAAAAACAGCAATCCAGCAGTGTCAGAGCTTGAACAGGGAGTTTTGTGTGTGGTTGAACTCAAACAGGTACACAGCACATATGCAATATGACCCATGGAGGCAAAGAATCGCTTCTTCTTCCTCCATGTTCCAAAGGGGTACTCAAAACATCCAGAAGCAGTTCCAGCTGTGACCAGCCAATGCCAATGCACATCTACACTCACCAGCCCTGTTCATTATGTGGCCAGGGCAGAGTCCTTTAGTATGTGTTTCCATGGATGGGTAGGAATAGACCTTCAGAAATTTGAGACTATCATTTGCCTGAAAATCACCTCAGAAGATGGACAGGAAGAGGATGGGCATGTGAACATGAAGCTCAACCTCAAATAAAAGAATATGCCTTGGTGTGACCTTGCCCTGTGTAGACCATAGTAGTCTGCCATGCAGCCCTTTTACCTTGCTGAGCAGTTCTGCATCTATCCAACCCGTCACAGCCACATGCACCACAATGATGGCTGAAAAGCTCTGCATCACCCCAGTGCTCTTAATGACCCACTTACCTTTTTCTCAGGAGTACTGGTCTTAATGGGCCTTGCAGTAATAGGACAGACTTGATGGCATGCTGATTCAAAAATGACCTAACTATAAAGAACATGTAGACTTTTGGAGGAGACTCTTCCAAGTCTTTTCCTCATTATGCCCAGGCACATGATCCTTTGACACAGGGATTTTGCAGGAGACTGTGCCCTGGGTGAAGATGTCCATTCACCTGCTCAAGCAGAGGGCCAGCAGCAGCCTTTTCAAACCAAACCCTGCCTTAAACCTTTGTGCAGTTGTTGGAAATTTTACCACTTTTAAATTTTTTATGTAACTTTGGTCAGGAATTTGTTTGCCTTTGCCCAGGTGGAAGGGAATTGAAGTTTCTGTTCAAAAGATCCTGTTCCCCAGGGATGTCTCTATGATCTTAACATCTATGGATTCCTAGTAGCCAGAAGATACACAGGAGATAAACCATAACTATTAATGACCATTAACAAACATTAATGAACATTACCACTTCTAGTGTGCAGTTGGAGACACCTGGGCTGGGAAAAGATTGTTAAGAGAAATGAAGAATGAAGATGCAATTAGCATCAAAGGTGATCAATAGCCAATAGGAAATTGAATTCTAAGAATTATGTAATTTAAGACCAGTTAATTTCTTTGGGGTTTAATGTATAAATATGTGAAAAGTCTGGTAAAAACCATGTGTGATTGAATGATTTTCACTGCACAGTCCAGGCATGTGTGGATGAAATAATTTCTGATGCACATCCTGATCAGAAAAACATCCTGGGAAGAATAAAGTAATGCCTTGATTCTCTAATCCTGAAAACGTATTGTTGAAGAGTTTCTGTTTTTCCTGCAGTTTCTCTGACACCATCTCGTCACACTTCATTTCTGTACTTCTTTATGCTTCTTGCTTCTCAAGGCCTTCACACCTGGCCCCTATTTCTCTCACTACATCATTATGTTAGTGCTGCAAATATCTCATTTGGCATAGAATAAAGTGTGTCTAACAATTCTCTGTACAAAATTATGGCCACATTAGACCAGGAGAAGGAAAAGTAAAAAAAAAAAAAGTAAGACCTGCTTTTCAAGGCCGAGGATGGTGTTGTGGGTACTGTTTACAAGGCCTCGGCTGCAGGCTGTGAAGCTTACTCTGTACAAACTTCTCTTGTCCTACAGCCTTGTTTTATTTTTTTTAGCTGTGACAGCTAGATTTAGCACAATTAAGTACAAAAATGTCAAAAAGCTATGAACAAAGAACCTTTAAAGAAAGTGCTTCAGCTCTAAGGTGGTTGCAGCACATATATTCCCTCCTAACACTTAAAGACAGTGTTGTACAAATATGCATATTCTAGAGGCTGCTTAGGAGATTCACAACTGTGTCATGATTCTGCAATATACTGGAAACGCTACAGTCTGCAAAATTTAATGTGCATGTTTACTGTAACTGCCATATTGCCCTACTAAATGGAAAACCCTTGTAAATTAAAATAGCCTCAGATAAGTAAACTTTCTATTAAACATTGGATCCTCCATGTGGATTTTCTAAAAATGCTTTGTCAGAGGATACTGGACTCTGGGGCAAGCAGTCTCTGGAGGCTGTAGGAGTCATAGCAGAAGGTGAGAGCCCCTTGAAGACTCCTTGCTGAACCCTGTGAGGTTCAGCAGCTCCACCTCTGTCCTGGCATGTGCCCCTCTGTGGGGCCAACCTCTGGCTTTGGCAGATGTCCACTGTTCGGGGGCCACACAGCTTGGCCTTATGCTGCTTCCAGTCTGGCTCTCAGAACTGACTGTGTACAGACAGAGGAATGCTATTGTGGGCAACATGCAAAGGTGGCAGGGTCTGTTGATACAGGATGCTGAAGGGCTCTCCATCACTGCTAACTGCTTGCGTGGGGAACAAATCAGCCATGTGCTTGGAACGCTGGAGAGCACAGTGAAAGCTGAAGCTGTGGGTCTACAGCTTTCAAGAAGGAAATAGTCCCAAGGTGCCTATGCAGATGCACACCACCTGGAGATTGGCAGCAACCTGGATATGGGCTGGGCAAGCACAGCTTTCCTGAGAAGGGCTGCAACCCCATGGCAGTGCAGGCAGGCACCCACCAACACCTCCTTGATGGAACATGCACCTGTGGAGTGGTTTTTGTACAAGGTGACTAGAGAGAGCTCCAGCTGCAGAACTAAGTCCAGTAGGTTTTGGTACTCTGAAACTGAGGCATTTAAGTGAATTAATTAAAGATCTGCAGAAGTACTGCATGGAGTCCTGGTGCCCCCAACAAAAGAAAGACATGGAACTATTGGAACAAGTCCAGAGGAGGTCCATAAAGTTGCTGAAAGGACTGGAGCATTTTCCCTATGAAGACAGGCTCGGACAGTTGGGAGCTGTCCAGCCAGGTGAAGACAAAGTTGTGTGGAAATCTCATTGCAACCAGTACCTGAAGGGTTGTATAGGGAAGCCAAAAAGGAACCGTCAGGAACTGTAGTGGCAGGACAAGGATAAGCAGGTACTCACTGAAAGAGAGGAAATTTAGGTTAGATAGTGAGAGGAAGTTTTTTGCTGTGAAGGTAGTGAGACACTGGGACAGACTGCCCAGGGAGGCTGTGGAAGCCCCAGCCCTGGCAGTGTTCACGTCCAGGCTGGATAAGGCCTTGAGCAACTTGTTCTAGTGGAAGGTGTCTGGCCCGTGGCAGAGAGGCTCAGGACTAGATGATCATTAAGGTCCTTTCTAACCCCTTAACATTCTTTGATTCTCTGTAGAAGTGACTCTGACGCTCAGAAGGAGCTGTTATTCCTCGGTCACTCCCTTTGGAAGGCGACTTTGGCTGCTGCCTTGTCACAGGACTGAGGCGGCCCGAGGCGGCGCGGGCGCGGCCGCTGCCCGCCCCGGCCGAGCCCAGGGGCCCCGCCCGGCGCCCGCGGCCGAGGGCACACGTGGCGCTGCCGGGGCTCGGCTCGGCTCGGTGCTGCGCAGGCGCCCGGGGCCGCGACGGGCGGGGCGGAGGCGGTGGCCGGGCCGTGCGGGGCGGGGCGGGGCGGGGCGGCCGGGCCGGTTGGGCGGTGGCGCGGGAGCCGCCTAACTGCCCCTCAGTGCCCGGCCTCGCGCAGGGAGGCGGCGGCTGCGGCCCGGCCGGCGGCGGCGGCCCGGCCGGCGGCGGCGGCCCGAAGAGGCTTTGCCCGGTGCCTGAGAGCCCCGGGTGGAGAAAGTGGAAAGGAAGGACTGTAGCCCCGCCGGGCGTAAGTTCTCGCGGTCTGAGGGGAAAGGCAGGGTGCCAACAGAGGGACGGCGCTGCCAGCCAGCGGGAGGCCGTTCCTCCTCGTGTCTGCGCGGTGACAGTGTCCCGTCTTCAGCGGGATAGGGGATGCTTTCTGCCTTCGGGGATACGAGTTCCCCAGGGGACTGTTTGTAGTGTGCGGAAAGCGAGGCTGCCGGGGAGTGCACCCCTCCCTGTGGGAGAGCTGCTCGCATTTCCTCTTCTCCTTAGTCCCGCTAATGATCCGCGGCGCGGATCGTCCGTTCTGACCTTTGGAAGTTTCGGTTCAGGTGCTGGCAGAGGTGGTTTGAGCGATGTGCACTGACTTAGTGAAGATAAGGGGGCTCGGGCTCTGTTTCCAGAGATGTGTCCTGCTGTCTGCAGGCAGTGAACTGCCGGGAAAATGTCATAACTGCTAAATGACCTAATGTTAAAGCAGCTTAACTCAAAAACAATTTTTAAAAAGTTTTGGAAGCTACTGTGAGCTGTGTAGGTTTTTGTTAATGTATCTGTGTTGTCAGCATTACTGCCTTGCAAATCTGTGTAGTTGCTGACAATAGGAATGGGAAGATTGTAAGGTGTGGGCTGAGATTGGATTCGGTTTAACCTTTGTACCCTAGTACCTGTCACCTCGTTTAACTTGTCCTCGTGATACTCTTCACAATGTAGTTTAGTGAGATAGACTTTATAATATGCTGTTTGCTATTTTTGTTATAATTTGGCTGTTGTATTGGTATACAAATAACATGTCTGATATTGACATGATGTCATTTCCCCGTGATTCTCAGTCTCTTAATGAAAGTTTTTCTTTTGAATCAACTTTTTAACTGCCATTCCAGTTTTTTTTTTTTTAATTTTCTTCATCACTCCTTGGATGTAGTGCATATACTGTTAATTTTACCTGAGCGGGAAGATAAACTCAAGGGAACTTTCAAGAGCTATGTTAGCTGAATAAGAATTTGTGTCTATTACTTAAAAGAGACAGTAGACAAAAAGGTCCCAAACATTTTCTCATCAGCTTTTCCATGTCTCTGAAGTGAATGTGGCTTGAAACACAGTTGTAGACAGAACTGCATTTTTTGCTGTAGTTCTCAATGCTTGAGTGTTTGGGGTTTTTTGTATGATCAGGACTTTACATCACTTACAGATTTCTGTGGCACATGACGTCATTTGAAACTGGGTGGGTCCAAAGAAAATATGAACCTCGTGTGTCTTTTTTCTTCTGGCAGGTGGCAATCACATCTTCTGATTCTTTGAAGCTCAGTGCACCAGCTGCAAAGTCTCTGAAAGGATGAGAGAAGGATGCAAGTGCCCAGTGTAGATTTGCCCATTGCTGTGTGGCAATGTGCAGGTTCAGTGTGTGCTACTCTTCCTGGGCAGTGCTTACTATGCTACAGACACTGTAGTTGTTGAGCAGAGGGCAGCTGTGAGGGCAGCTGTTGCTGAGGGGTTGTTGCAGAATCAGTCAGGGAACCCACTGGAGCAGCAAGGGCAGAAATTGCAGGGTTAAGGAGCCATGTGTGTGTGAAGACATGTACTGGCTGTGCTGTCTGTACGGGTGCAGGGACATGGATGTACCTGTATGTGAATATAAGTGTGCAGAGCAAGAGGTACAGTTGGGTTAGTGAAGTGCTGAGTATATATAAAGTGAAAACTGTTCAAGGAAGGTTGCAGAAAAGGACTTGATGCTGTGCCTCCTTGTCTGGCCCTGGAGCTGGACTGTTGTGAAGTTGGGTGCAGAAAGGGAGAGCCTGAAGTGTGTGTGGTGACATCTGAAATGAGCTGAGGGTTGGCATTTCTCTTTCTTTTGGACATGGTGTGTTGTTGCCCTGGGTGACTTCCCCAGGAAGGGAAGTGGTGATGGGAGAGAGTCTGTTGTGCGGAGAGCAGTGCAAACCAGCCTTTCATGGGGCCCCTTGTGGCAGCGCTGCAGATTTGAGAGAGCCTCATGCAGGTACGCGGGCAGCAGTTGCTCACCTTGGTGTGCTGGAGGAGGGGCACTCTGGTGCTGTGCCTAGAGCTGGAGCATCTTGAGGAGCGCAAGGTGACCTTCTCCCAAAGCACTGGCTCTGCTCATGTTGCACATTAGCTGCTGGGGGGTGAGGATGAGGTGTTTGAGGTGCACCAGTGTGCTGTGCTCGGTGTTGGACTGGAGGCTGTGTGCAGCACACACTTTGAAAGCAGTGTTGTTGCTGGTTGTGTGAGAGCTCTGTGCGGTTTTGGTCCACGGTCATGGCAGGGAGGTTCCTGTGGCAGGAGTGTCCCTGCAGTGAGTGAGCACCTAGGAGGAGGACTCTCAGCTGGGAGCACAGAGCCTGCCCTGCAGCACTTGTGTCTGTGCTCTCCAGTGTCCCATGGGTGTAGCTGGATGTTCCTGGAGAAGTCCCAAGTGTGTGCAGGCCTGTGAGTTGGGGGGCTGGGAGGGCTTTAGGTAGTGCTGGCTCTGGCCTGGAAACCGCCTCCCACGCTGCCCAGAATTCCTGTTCCAGAGTCCTCGCTGGAAGGTTTCTGCCACTATTTTGTGGGAGGGAGATGCCATTTTATTCAGTGTCGCAGCTCCTGCTTCCTTGTACCAGGAAACACTCAGATATCAATATATTTATATGCAGCACATGCATGGGGTATGTAGATAGTTAGAGTTGTATGTATGAAGGAAAGAATCGGTAGATTTGTACTTAGATACACTAAATATATATATTTCTAGAGGTATATGAATGAGACATTTGTAATGGTAAAAACATAAGCCTGAGGTAGCTAAAGCAGTCTTTCTTGAGGGCTGATGGAACAAATCTATAGATTTGAATGAAATGCATTGCAGAAAGATAAAAGGCAGGTTCAGGCCTTCTGCTTTGGTGGCTGTAGAAAAAGCACTGAGCTGTTTGGAGAACAGGCAGGAGGCATCACAGAGCACTGGGACATGCCTGAGGGCTGTGGAACTGTGTTAGGTGGCTGCCAGGCAGGCCTCAGCAAGCACCGTGTCACGTCCCCCGAACATGGATCGAGGTCTGTCCCTCGATCCAGGCTGAGAAGGCTCCATGCCTGGGCAGAGCCTAGTGGGATGGTCATGCAGTGCATATCCCTGATGCTGGCTCTGGGCATCCCTGGCCCTACCAGACATGAGCCACACAGGCTGAAAAAACAGAAGGCCAGAACAAAATCCCTATGTCAGAGGATCACATGCGTGGGGACTTATGTTGTTTTCTCTCTGAAGATTCTGTGGAGCCGAGGTATTGTGTGCTTATGGGTAAGATGTTGCATGCTCCAGGTGCATGCTGTTTCCATGGTGAAGTTGAGACATGGGCATTGGTGCAGCTGCTGGCTCAGGGGCACCTCTCTAGAGGGACACCCCACACCACTGAGTGTGGGGTGCTGTGACAGGGGGTGGTGGTTGTGCCCTCTCTCACTTTCAGAGGAAGTTTCAGCCCTTCAGGTAGTAAGGTGTCATCAAATCACAAAATATCCTGAATTGGATAAAATGACCCACAGGATCATCAAAATCCAACTCCTCACCCTGCACAGGAAACTAAACAAATCACACCATGTGAACTCTGTCAGATCTGATGCTGTGACCACTTCTGTCAGGAGCCTGTTCTAGTGCTCAGTCACCCTCTGGGTGAAGAACCTTCTGCTATCCAGCCCAAACCTTCTCTGACACCACTTTGGCCATTACCTCGGGTCCTGTCACTGGTCACAAGAGTGTAGATATCAGTGTTTGCTGCTCCTCTTACCCTCACAAGGAAGTTGTAGACTGCAATGTGGTCTCTCCTCAGACTTCTCTAGGCTGAACAGACCAAGTTATTTCAGCCACCCCTCATATGGGCCCCCCTCACGACCCTTCACCATGTTTCTTGCCCCCCTTTGGACACTCTCTTGACAACTTAATGTTTTGCTTATACTGTGGTACCCAAAACTGCCCCCAGCACTCGAGCTGAGGTCGCCCCAGGGCAGAGCAGAGCAGGACAATCCCCTCCCTTGCCTGGCTGTGATGCTGTGCCTGATGCACCCCAGGAAATGGGTGGCCCTCCTGGATGCCAGGGCGCTGTTGATTAGCATTCAGCTTCCCATTGGCAGGACCCCCAGGCCACTTTCCAGAGTGTCTCTCTTTCCCCAGTTATACACACATCCAGAATTGCCCTGTCCCAGGTACAATATCTAGTACTTGTCTCTGGTGCATCAATTGCTTAGCAGTACCCGTTCCTCTTCTGTACATGTGGCCTCCTGTGATTGTCTGCAGAGCCAGCCTGTGCATGATGGCTGCTGTGCTCCTTTGTCAGCACTTTTTGACAATGTCATGCGCTGTGTGTTCCCTACCACAGTATGCTTGCCTTGCACTACCATGGCCCTACGGGCCTACCTAGAAGTATCACAGTCTCCAGAGATGAGCCACTGAGTTGCTGCATTCTGGCTTGTTGGGGAAGGGAGCTTGAATAGTAAAAGCCGGCGATTTTAGCCTGTGTATGTAAAATTTTTTTTCCCCTTTTTTTTCTTTTGGAGACAGGGGTGTAAGTGAAGATGCAGGAGCCAGAATGTGTTGCAAAAGCCTTGCGAGCTGTTCTTCTTGCCTTTCAAAATGGCATACGTTTGTCAGAACTTCAGAGTGAATACAGATCCCTGACCAATGAGTTGATTCCCTTCAGGCACCTAGGATATGACACACTGGAAGGCTACTTGGAAAGTATCCCAGGAGTGGTCAGAATGGAAGAGAACAAAATAGGAGAGGTAAGAATCAGTTTCTGTTCAGAAATGGGTTTTGTATTTGCAGAATGTTCCTGGTTCATAGCTCTACCTCCTTTTGTGCTGTGGATTTCTGTAGCATGCATATGGTGCACTAATTCTCACTTCGGGAGAAGTGCTTCCACTGTGACATAAGATACTAAGTGCTCCTTATTTTTCTGCCTCTGCATTCCAGACCCAAGGTTGTGTATGCAAAAGGTGTAAAGTTACAGGGCTTTTTCCTGGAAATGTGAATTCTGTGTGGAAAGATCACTTGTGGAGTGATCTTTGTGGAGATCTGGCCCCTATCTCATCATTTCTGACTTTGGAGGAGATACTAATGGTTTGTCCTGGGACCTTAAAGGTTAACTTGTGTGTGTTAATCATCTCTTCTCAGTGGGGTTTAGCATAATCTTTTTCCTACAAAAAAACCTCTTAGGTGCTGTTGCTTATAAGCTTGACAGTGCTTGCTTTGGACTTAGGATTCTTGTTTGTTATGGATTGCAGTGCAACAGGACTGCAAATATGTGCTGAGGTGATGAAGAGCTCATGTAAGTGAGGTGGCTTGCTGCAATATTTGCAAGTGCCTTAGCTTGCCAAGTGTGCAAGGGATAAAGGGTCATCACACAGATCAAGAAGGAGAAGCAGATCTTATCAGAGGATTGGTATGGTAGAAGTTGTCCCTTATTCCTTGCTCTTGCTGCACTAGCCTGTGTCTCCTGGTGGCTGCCTCCTTGGAAGCAGGTTGCTAGGACCACAGACCTCTTTGCCCAATAGTCTGGACTTCCTGGTCTGAAGTCAGAATGTGTTCTCTTGATAACTGGTGTAGCTGTGTGACTTGAGATGATCTGTGTGGCAAGCTTGAAGTCACTCCCTTGTTGGAGCTATGGTTCTGAGTTCCTGAAGTCGTTGTAGCCTGAGGCAGAGCAAAAAGCTAGTGGATGTTTGGCACAGTGTAAGGCAGTCATAGCAGGTCTGAAGAGACAGAACTTAAGGCTGAGCTTCCTTGTTTGCTCAGCTGGATCAGGATGGCATCTGTGAACTCAGAACTAGTTCTAGCTCATTAGCTGTGTGATGAGAGTACAGGGAGAGTTATCCTGGGTTTTGTCCTAATATCTGGAAATGTGGCTGTCTTTAAGCAATGGGTTGGTTTCCTTTCTGCATATTTACATCAGAATTTGCCCTTTTACAGCAGACAAGCAAGTTTGGGATTCTTTTTCTCCAAAGCCTGCCTCAGCTGCAGCTACATTAGTAACAAGATTGCAGGTACCTCAGGTCTGGGAACATCTGTGATCCTGCAATTAAGTGCTTCCTCGTGGTGATTCTGGCAGATAGCCATCTGTTTCTAACTAGGGCCTTGCAGGGTGTAATCTGGTATCCTCCCATTCCCTTGAGAGCCTTGTTTATCCCCTAATGCCATGTGTGCTGGGAGCCTTGTGAACTCCTGGATAGTACTGGGGGCAGTGAATTCCTTGTGGCAGCTGTTACAAGAGAGTGAAATGTGGCTTTAGGAGGTGAAAAGGCGAGAGCCAGGGGTCTTGAGGTTCTTGAGGAGAACTCGCTCTGGTTCAGAAGTGCTAACTGTATTCTACATGACTGAAACAGCTGAGAGGAAGTGCCTTGTTGAACACCTGGGAGACAGGAAAGGTGCAAAGACTGAGCCTGTGTTGCTATTTGATGACCCTCCTGTTGCCACTGTCCATAGTGTGGACATCGCAGACATTAAGCAGAGAGTGGCAAGCATGATTATGTACTGATGTGGGCTGCTAAATTGCCTAGGACGTCTCCCATATGCTTTCTTGTTACATGCTATATATCGTTATAAGGCTGTTCTTCCTCACCTCTCTCTTCACCTCTCTCCAGAATATTTGAGCTTCATTATAGGCTTGATACCATAGCTCAGAAACCATACAAGACCACTGCAAGAGCACACAGTCAGCCAGACTCTTTTCATGGCTCTGGAGTACCCTGACCTCCAAAGTGTCTGTCAAGACCCTTCCCTCTTCCTTTAATCTACTTGTAGACAGTGGGGCAGGACAGCAAAGACATGCACATCCAGGGGTCTAGTAGCAGTTAATGTTCATGGCTGCAGTCTAGATAGTCTTAAAATTACTTTCCTTACTGCTAGGTCAGCTGTCCAAGATGTACCACAAGAAATGCATTCAAAAAGAAATAGTATAAGGTAGGCAGTAAGTAATACAAATTGATCTCAAAATGCCACATGTTATGTGCATGTTATATGCTGCCTTAAGTGTTTGTGGGAGTTAGCTAGGTAACTCAGGCAGAACAGACACTATCTTGGGAAGGCAATGATATAAATTGTCCTTTGTTCCTCTTGATCCTGAACACTAATTTAGCTGTCTTGAATGTGGGAAAGATTAAAACTAATGACTTTTTCTTTATGCAGTAGCTATGTCCTCCAGTTTCCACAGAAAATGAGAATTAAGTTCAGTATACAGAAAGCACTGCAAGGGAACTAATTGAAACACTGTGCACCTGTAACAGGTAGTTGCATCCTTTCAAGGAACCCTACTTTGCTTTGCTTCATATTAATTTATGAGAAGGGTGTTGTACTTTCATCTAAGAAAACTTTGACTTCTGCGTTAATAATTAAGCCCCTTCAAAAGGAGAAATTTGAAGACTGCTTTGTTCTGCTCATCTACCCCATCCTTTTTTACATCTGAATTCATTTTAATTCAAACCATTTTGTTAAATTTTATCACTGTGAAACAAGGGAAGGAAATGCAGAATAAAAATTATTTAGAGCATTACTGGCAAAAAAAACCTGAAGTATACCGAAGATGTGAAAATGTACATTTATAAAACTCTGATAAACTGTCTAGGGACAAAAAAACTTTTATATTGAGACCTTGAGAACAAAGGTTAAGTGATCCATCCCATGCATCCACTGCTGTTAGTTAGGAGTTTGAAGAAGGCTCTCATATGCTTTTCTGGAAGTGTGCACAAATGGGCACCTCTCTGAAGTGTCCACACTTGGGCTACAACCCAAAGAAACTGGAGATCTTTGTGTTGTTCAGGGCTGTGTTCTCATTTGCGGTCACAGGGAGTTGTTGCAACAGGTCACACAACCAGGATGCTGCTGTGGGTTGCCTGGCTGATGAGGAATTACGGGCTTTAGTGGTGAACAGGAGGAGTTCCTGTGAGACCTTCCAAGTTTGGGAGCAGCAGGAATGCCAGGAGCTCTTTCTTGGGACAGATGATGAGACAGGAAGAGCTTATGAGTAGTGGACAGACCAGTGTATGGGCAATGTAGTGGCTATCTGTTACAAATAGTTTAAGTGGGAAGAAGCAGTAGACAAAACAGATGATGCCTTCTTTTGACAACCACATGGGGGACTTGGACCACTGCCATACCTGCTGTAGGGACAAGACGTCCAACTGTGAACACTCAAGGATGTTTCAGGGGTCTGCTGCTCCCAACATCCTGACATGTCAATGAAGAGAGGTGCCCTGCTGGACACAGTCCTTGAAAACAAAAAATGATTGCAGATGTAAAGGCTGGGAGGAGCCCTGTCTGTGGCTAGATGGTGTCTGTGAGCCTGAAAGGAGGGAAACAAAGCAAAAAGTAGAATCAACAGTGCAGGACTTTGGGAGAGCAGACTTTGGCCTCTTCAGGAGTCTGCTTGGAAGACTCATGGAATACAGTCCTGAAGAGAATGATCCAGTGGAGATTGTGAGCTTACAAGGATTGCCTCCTCCAGTTTCAACAATGGTATGTTCCAATAGCTGGGGGGAAAAAGCAAAAAGGGCAGGAGCACTGATAAAACTGAGCCATAAATGCAAGCATGTATGAGGTGGGAGCAGAGAGAAGTAGCCTGGGAGGATTATACAGATGCTGCCTAAACAAACATATATGGACCTAAGAAAGACTGCATTTATGATTCATTATTTGAAGACCAAGACCAAGTGCCATCCCCTTGAGAACAGCTCCCAGAGCTGTTCTGGACCAGTGCTTCCAAAGAAAGTCCTTAAAATAGCTGGTTAAGTGTACTGGCAATGGGAGGAAACAAGGACAGGGATAAAGAGACAACGGAAAAACTGAAAGAAAGAAGGTACAGCAAATGAAGACCTTCAGCCTTTTGCTGTGTTTCATTTCACTAAAGCCTTGTTAAGTCCGTGCTTAAACTGTTGAGTGCAGATTGTTGCACAGACATCTGTGAAAGGGTGAAGAGTGAAGGATTTCAGGTTCACCTTTCACAAAGATGGGTTATGATTCAGGTACAGGCTGTTGTATGAAAAAGTCTCTCTCTTAAGCAAGGTTGAAGAAGGTACACGTGACTGAAGAAGGAGTGCCTAACTTAAATCTACCATTAGAAGCATGCACACAGGAGGTAGAAGCAGAATTGGGTGGGCTGGATGGGTTATAGAGATACTATGGAAATAGGCTGAGGAAAGTGCAGGGCAAGGAGGTCTAAACCTTGTTGGGGAGGATTAAGATAGGGAACATTTGGAAAAACGGAATGTGCCTACATCCATGAGTTTATTGCAGTGCACCCACAAGTGACTTGGAAAGGTCATGGTAATTTGTGGGAGGTTCTTGAGGACCGAAAGAAAGCACCACCCTTCACTGGGAGGGGTGGGAAGATTAGCCTGACGTAGAACTGTTGGAAAGTTGTTGAGTGTCTAATCCTGGAAAGCTGTTCCAGCCACTTGAAAGACAAGAAGGCAAGTCAGTATGGATTTGTGAAGTGAAAATAATATGTTACCAAATAAATATCCTTCTAAATTGAGATGATTGGTTGAGTGGAGAGCATTGGATGTAGCTTAACTGAAATTTTGGTAGGGCTTGTAATATCCTCTTCTGTAACAGTGGCACAAAACCTATTGGGAGACCACTTATAAGTGATGTGCCCTGGGAGCAGGTGCTCAGGAATTGCTGTCTAACGTACTCATGAATGACCTAGGTGATGGGACAGAGATCATCCTCAGCAAGTCTGTAGATGACAGGAGAAACCTGATAGAGCAGATGAATGTGCTTGTTGTTCCGAGGGATTTCAAGAACCTAGAGAAATTGAGCAGCAGGAGCCCTGTGAAGTTCAGTATATGGAAATGCCAAGTCCTGCACACGGGGAAGAAAACCCCATATTCCTGTATAGTTTTAGGGTTGACCAACTGAAAAGTAGCTTGGCAGAGAAATGCCCTGGTGGGTGCAGAGTTCACAGTGAGCAGGGTGCCATTTGTAGCAAGGGAGACCAACAGCATCATGGGATTCATTAGGAAGAGTTGCCAGCACTCTGATGGGGGTGATAATTCCCTTCTGCTCAGCAGCAGTGAAACCACATCCTTTTCTAAGCTTCCCAGAATAAGATGGACATGGCCACACTGAAGCAAGTTCATGGAATGATTGTGAAGCTTATGAAGGGACTGTAACATCACATCTCTGATGTAGGGCTCAGAGAGCAGGAATTGTTTGTGCTGGAAAAGAGAAAGCTCAGGGAAATCTTATCCTTATGTCTGTTAAAGGGACTAAAAAAAAAGCCATGGAGCCAGACTCCATCTCCAGTTCTCAGTGGTATTCAGTGAACAGACAAGAGACAATGATAGCAGAGTGAAATAAAAGCAGTCCCATGTAAACATTAAACCGTCCACTTTTTTACAGTGAGGCTGACTAAACAATGGAAGAAATTGTCCAGAGTGGTTGAGAGTTTTTTGTCTTTGAAGATAATCCACCACCTGACTAACTAGTTGATACTGCTTTGAGCAAAGATGCTGTATTACATGGATTGTAGCAATGTTTTCCAGCCTTCATTTTTCTGTGATTCCTGGCATTTAATCACTACAGTGGCGACACTGCTGGATTGCTGTTTTTATCAGTGCTGACTGTGCAGCAGACACACTCTCTGATTTGTAAGCAGAGCTCCTGGAGTAGGAGAACTATCCCTCAGAAGGAGAGACCCTCCTTGTAGTGGCTCTGTATTGAGCCAGCCCAGCAAAGGTGCTGGGTCTGCAGCAGAAGAGGAGGAAGAGGAGGGGGAAGGATGAGGTGGAGGGCACTGCTGGAGGAGTTGCCTGGCTTCTAGTGTCATCATCCATTGCCTGTTTTCCTAGGCTGTGTGTGTCACCCTGGGACACTTGAGAAGATCCCTGGAACAAGCTGTTGCTGCTTAGCAATCTCTTGCTTTTGTTGTTTTACTGCTTTAATTGCCCTGTCTTGATTGTGAGAAAAGATCCTTTTTGGAGCTGCTGATTGCTAAATTTCAGAGGTGCTGGTGAAATCCCTGAGTTTCTCTTGCCCCGTTCCTGTGCAAAATGGCCATCTCTTGTCGGAACTCAAAATGTCCCTCAGACATTTTCAGAGGTTCCAGGCCTTGGTCAGAAGCATTTTAGACCCTGGCAAGCAGCTGAAAACAGCTGTGATTTTGAGTTTGAGCCATGGAATGAGTTACCAACTTTGAAGGTGGAACAAGCGGTCACAGAGGGTTAGATGGTATAGTAAAAGTAGTTACAAATTAGAGGGAAAAATTTTTTAGTATTGTACAAGGGGGTTTTAGTACCTGTACAGGGGGGTTTTACTTTGTACAGGGGGGTCAGGAGTTCTAAGATGGAGGAAAGTGGGCCTGATCCTGTTCTTCCTCCTTCTTCTTCCTTACCTCCATGCTCTTGGTGATGTTGGCACTCACAGATTGGTTTAGAGTAGAAAAGCACATTGTAACATAGACAGTAGGTATTGGGGAAAATCTGTAAACATATAATACGTAATATAGCATATAAAAGATAGCAGCAGCCCTGGCGGGGAGAGAGATGATGGAGACACCGGACAGTGCGGGTGTCAGGGTGTGTGTGCCTCTGCCTGGGCCGCTGACCAAGGCAGTGCAGCGGGCGAAGACAATCTTTTAGATAACTAGCAATAAACTGCCTTGAGACTGAACAACAAGAGGCTGCGGAGTTTTTCTTTGGAAGTAAAGGTTGGAGGAGAGACTTTACCACCACACGAGAGCCCCGAATCAGTTCCGGGGTTCTCACAATCTCTGATGTGCCTTGGTGGCCATGGCTAGCAAGGTAGCAGTGCTGGCCCATGGCACCATTGAGAAAGGGGCCCTTTCACAACCTCTACCTCCACCACAGAACATGGCTGAGACCACAGACTTCCATTTTTAACTTAGTGGTTTTGGGGTAACTGCCAGGAATCCTTAGAGAATCCTGGAGGTGTACTCACCCAGCTGCCTTTGCAGCAGTTGAATGGCCCAAAGGTTTGGGCTTTCATCTTCTTTTCAGGCAAATTGCATGCTGAGCACATGATTTAGTGTCTTGCCAAGACCAAGTTCCTGTATCAATCTACAGGATGGCCTGTGGTGATTGGATGTTGAGGCAAGAGGCCATGAAGTTGGGCAGGGAGATACCTGTGGCATTGTCCAAGGTTGGGCTGTTGTTGGGGGCCAGTCCAGTGCCTGTGATTGGTGCAGCCAGGATTGCTGTGCAGTTTCTTTGGTAAGTGGGGGAAAAGGCAACCCTGCTCCAAAGGGTCAGTGTGGTGCCAGAGCCTCTAGTGAGCCTTGGCAGGAGGAACAAGGACAGGCTGCAACCCCATGGCTCCCCAGAGTTATAAAGCAAGATTGTGGGACTGTGGGGTGGCAGTTAGAAACCAGGCTGTTTCTCAGAGAGGCCCAACCTAATGTGGAAAGGTGATGGAAAGGCTCTCACTGTCTGGTTTGTTGATTTCACAAAAAGTGATTGAGATCTCCAAGATCCATGTCTACTGCTGAAGCCTTTCCTGAACTGCCTGTTGGCCTGCATGATTCAACAGTTACAGGCTTGGAAAAGGATACAAGTGATTTTGGGGGCTGTGGATGAGCATGGATCTCACTGACTGCTTTTTCTCTGTCCCCTTCCTGCTCCTACAAGGTCATTTGCCATGGTGTTTGTTGCAGTGAAACTGTACAAATTGCTCAACTGGTGGCTAGACAGAGGAGTTCCAAGAAGAAAACAGTCCGGCAGGTGAATTGTCAGATGAGGCTGAAGAACACATCTCCGGTCAGTTTATCAGGTAAGCCATAGGCAGCTCTAGAGGGCCTTTATGAAATAACTGTGCAGCTACTGCAGCAAAAGTCTTGGCTCTGAGGGTGTGTCACCTATGGCCAGAAGTTCCAGTGTCCAAGTGGAGAGTCCTTGGGAGGATGAGTGTTCTTGACAAGGGTGCTTATATCTGAAAGCCATGACAGAGAGGAAGCCCTTTTCAAGTGTGTATGTAAGGTATGAATGATCTTGGAAAACAAAGTCCTTGTGGGATGCTTGGCTTGACTTTCATGTGCTCCTGCTTTTGTGAGATGCAGGCAAGAAATGTGGCAATGAGCCTGCATGTTCTTTAAGGCTGGCCTTGGCCTGTTGTGGAGTGGGAGGATTGAACCATTCCCTCACAGTGAGAAAGAGTCCTCGTAGCATCATCTGTGGCTGTTTCAGAGACTCCTGTTGTTGATGCCAGTGCCACAAAAGTTCTGATGCCCATTTTCACCTCTTTTTTACCTCTTACCTCTTGCACAAGCTTCTGTAGCAGTGTTTTCCTAAAATGTCGGTCAGGTTTTCCTCACTGCTGCTCTGTTTTGTGACTGACTGTGGAATTCGGCCCAGGATTAAGTCCAGGCAGGGCCCGTTTGCTGCTGATTGGCAGCTTGGAACAACAGTGGGTTTCATAGTTTGTGTGTATTCCCCTGTTGTCTGTAATGAAGTGTTTGCTGCTTCTTGCTTTTCTACAAGGATGCCAATTGGGAAGCTGAACTAGTGGCTTATATCCCAGTTAAGTGGCGGGGATTACAAAGGCAGGTTGATTCACTGTCTTGCATATCAATCCCCTTGGAAGTGATTGAAACCTCCAAAATTGATCCAACATGTAAACAGCAAGGTGACCAAGAGCTTGTTTATTCCAGTGTGGCCTGAATGTTGGTGTGTTCCTCTGTGGGTGGAACTTGGTCACTCTGCTGTGTGGTGGGAGTTCAGGTACCCACAAGCCCGAGTAGCAAAGAAACCCTTTGGATGACAGTACAGGAGGTGCCTGGGGAGGTGGAGGTAGACTGGGTGGAGAAGAATGCTACTCATGGCTGCATCTGCAAACTCTTTAGGAAAACCTAAAGGAACTCTGCGGCAGCCCCAGTCTTTGAACATGACAGAAGGAGGTGGTAAGAGGCCTGTTCCTCGCCTGTCCCGAGGCAGAGAAGTGGCATGTGGAGGTGTGAAACCTGTTGTGGAGAGTGCCCGATCTGCCTTACCTTCAGCTGCTGGGAGTGGATCACCTAAAGAAATCCCCATGCAGAGACATGTCACTGTGGTCAACAGGTCAGTGTGTGTGTGTGTGTGCACAAGTGAGGGGAAATTAAGCGTGATGGACCCTTGGAAGCTGCCATGCAAACAGTCCCTTTTAGGATCCAGTGAGAATCCAGGCCCCTACGCTTGCAGCAAGTGAAGTCTGAATGTGGAATGATATCCAGGAAGGAGAGAGATGATGTTTTGCCTTTCTTGGTACTGCCATAGATAGCCTGTGCTCTTGCCTGTTCCAATGTTTTCTGGGGAGAAATGTGGCCTAAGTGTCACAGCAAGGGAGTGTGGAGCTGTTGCCTAGGCCTAGGAGGGAGCTGTTGTGGCCAGTGTGAGAGAAAGCATGAGAAGCAGATTTGTGTGCAGGGGCAGGTGATGTGTGTGTTGAGGGTGATGGTTATCTGCAGGTGGCTGCCCTTTCCCTCTTGCCTGACTTCTGTGTTGCAGCATCGGTGTTTGTGCCCCTTCTCGGCGTGCTCGGAGCCAGGAGCCAGCTGACTGTGTTTGGGTGAACTGAGATGGGGGCTGGAGCTGCAGCTCTGCTGGGTTAGTGGTACATGCTGCTATGCTGCTTTTCAGCCCCATTTGAGCTTCTCTAATCCGGGTGGCTTAGTCAGCTGCTGCCCCATCATTTCTTTCTGTGTTGTTTTCGGCTGCTCTGGGCTGTCAGCTGACAGTGCTGAGAAAGTGTTTGCTGTTGCTCATTGTGGCTGTGCTAAGTCCACCGGAGCTGTGATTGTGGCGGTAATCCTCTGCAGGGGGAGGACTGCAGCCCAGGATGGGTTGGAAGTCAGCCTGGCGTTGAATGGAAACGGCAGTGGTGTGCCGCTTCCACGATGGCGTAGCTGTCAAGTGGCCCAGAGCAGCACAACAGCTTAATCCTGCTGAGGTGCCTGCTCTTTCTGGAAGATCCACAGAAAGCAGCCACATCCTGCCCCACTCACCTGCATGAGTTCTATGCACCATTCAGAGTCTTTTGTGCAGAGGAGAGAAGGACCAAGCCATCCTGCTGTGACTCAGAAATGTAGGAGCTGTGCTTGGTCTTTCCCTTTTCTGTGTGTGCAGATGAGTACGTATTTTTAAGTGGCACTTCTCCAGAAGGCAGAGGCACTTTGCCTCAGGCAAAGCAAAAAGAGCACTTAGAGTTTTCTCCAAGTTAGTTACTGTAAGGAAAATACAGGAAATATTTTATAGCAGTTAAAGATTTGTAACGTGTGAAATAAAATTAGGTAGATGTCACCCCTTTTCTGGCTATTCCTAATGGAGTCTGCTACATCTTGTGTTATCTTTGTTCATCTCTGGCAGTCTCTCCTCCTTTTAGGTAAGTGTTCTGCCTTTCTTCCTGTTGTCTATTTCTGCCCTGCACTATAGGACAACCTACAAGCAAAGTCTGCTTTGGCCCATGTTATTTCTGGAGGAGGAGACATCTTGTGCTTTTGTAGAGTCCAAATGCTATCCTGTTAGCTTGGGTACATAGTGAAGAGAGAGTTCAGGGAGATGCGATTCATATTCCATGTGAATACAAGGTTGTATGTGACTGGACTAATTTATTTCAACTTAGCCAGTTTGAAGCAGGGCTGGCAAGATCCATGTGTCCTTGCTGCTGGGGACGTTTTGTACTTCCTGAACCATTGTTGTTGCTTGTACTTTGTTGTTGCAGGAGGGAAAGCTTCTTTGAGCCAGGAGGTTCTGACTTAAAAAAACAGTATGCAGTGAGTGGAGTTACAAACAGCATACCCAAAAATCCCGGGCTGACAGCAGCCTCGTAGTTATCTGGCACAGGCTTGAGGGCTCTATTCCACCAGGGGTGTCAGCACTTGCCTATGAGAGTGACTGAGCCTTGACAGCTCAGGCTGACTGAGACAAGTCCTGAGGGTGACACTCTGTCTCTGCCTCATTTCCCAGTTTGGAGTGAGCTGTTATTTGTGTGCAGTTTTTGCCATTCTGTAACCCACCCTGCCCCTCCATCTACCCACATGGTAGGAAAGAACAATCATGATTGCACATCTCTGTTTTCTCCTTCTCTGTTGATCATCTGTACTGCTATGGCACAATCATGTTCCTTGCCTTGCCACAATGTCCTGCCAGTGACAGACTTTGGGTGCTGACAGGTATTGGTGCTCCACCCAGTATCATGTGGTGAAGCTCCTCAGTGAGGCTAGAAATTGTGGTTCTCTTGTGACTGCCAAAGTCTATGTCTGACCTTTGTCACGCTTTGTGATATTCTTTGCAGAGATTTTTATGATCACAGTTTCAGGGGCTTGCCGCTGTGTAGCATTTGGTGGAAAGGGAACAGGCTGTTTGTCTTCCCAATTCTGTCATACTCACACGACAACAGAGAAATGCTGAAGGTAATTGTCCGAGGCTTTCTTGCAGATGCTGTTGCAGGGTATGAAGCTTGTCTTTATAGAAGCAATCTGAGGTTATCCTGACTATGTTGCTGTGGGCCCTCAGAAGCAGGGAGAGACCTTGCTGGTAAGCTAGCTGCAGAGATCCTTGAGGCTGGAAGGCAGCAGCATGGATGAGAGCAAGTTCAGGTGCTTGGTGACCCCTTGCTTGAAGCAGCAGGAGCCATTTGCTGCTGGCCACCACCTGGCCTTGCTGCTTAGATAGCACTGTCCAAGGGCCAAAGAGCAAATTGGAGTAGCATGGGCCTTACCAAGGTAAGGCAATTGGCAGGGAAGAGCATTGTTCCTCTTCATTGTGAGGCAGTGATCTGTGGCAGTGAGATGTGACTAGCTGCTCAGCTGGAGCTACACATGGGGACTTGGCAAGCCTCCATAGCTGGTCAAGCATTTGTGAAGGGCTAGGCTGCAGGTGTGGCTAGGAGGCCTCTTGCTGGGAGCACGCTTCTAGCAGCTGAGGAACATGAGACCTTGCAAGTAGGTGAGTTGTCCATACCTGCAAACTGGAGGGAAGCTTATTAGCCCTGGCAGTATCTGGCCATATCCCATCTCACTGTTGGAGGTGTACGACCATCATGATCTGTGTGAGCAAGCAGCACTTCACATGATACTTACCTGATTGCAGCACTCAAAACTAGTGATGGCTGGGCTCAAAGCCGATGTCAGCACCATGTTGACAGCATCAACAGTTTCCACAACAGAAAGCACAGGAAGACCCTACATAAAATCTCTTAATATCGAGAGCTTTTACATGCAGCAGAAGGGAATCATCCATCCTTCGTTCCAGGTTCCTTTCCAAGGTGTTCACATGGCATGGTTTAAGCAGGGAATATCTGCCCTGTTCCTCACTGGAACTTGCCTGCAGTTCTAGCTGGCCTACCCTGCAGTCACATCATTTGTGTCACTTGATGTGAGGCTTAAGGTGATACAAGTGTGTATGGCATGGAGGACTAGAACCCATAGCTATGGCTTCCTGTTGTCAGGTGGGGTAGCGTGACAGTCTTCACTACCCATGGAGCTATTTCACAGGATTGTTTTGCTTTCTGTGTAGGAGAGGTCTCTTTTGAGTGTGCTTCCATTAAGAGGATTTTTTTATCTTGTGTATCTGTTCAGCTTAGAGTTGTCCATACTGGTAGGTACACATACAAAGAAGTGGGATCCTGGATTTCTCATAGAATCTGCATGGGCAGCCACAACCACCTTCTAAGAAGAGACTGCTGCTGCTTTGTGTGGGTATCTGGGCTGTGCCCAGAAAGTAGAGAGTTTTTTCTGTAGATCAGGTGAAGTATTGTAAGAGGTTTTTCAGATACCCAGCAAGTGCCAGGTGTGAGTGTAAGTTTTGATTTTGTGTGGTGGCTTTGCTTTTGTACTTTCTGAGTTTCGTAAATGTTCTTGTAGTGCTCCTGTTTTGTAAATTGCTGGGCTGGGCAGTACCTGTCCTCATAGCTAGTGCAGTGGGACATGACTCAGAACAGAAGTATGGTCTTTGGTACAGGTGATATCCCATAGCTGATGGAGGAGCAATGGGTTCATCTAACAGGGACATAAAAGCAGGGAAGACTAATTAATGTTAAATCTTTTAACATGCTTCTTAGAAGAGATGTGAATGTGGGAGGTCTATTTTTGATTCATGGATATGCTCTGATCAAAATTCAATGTGACAATACATAGGGCTACTTGGTCTTGACTTCCTGTTGCAACTAACTGCAGCATCATATTTGAGCTATTGTCCTACCTTCTCAGAGTGCAGGTAAAGCTGTGAAAATCACCTTTGGTGTTTCTGCAGCCTGTGAGGTTTATGGCTTGCTGCACTGTTCCCTCTGAATTCCAGAACTGGCCCCTGGGCAGAGGTATTCTGCAAAGCCTACCCAGTGCATGTGCAGGGTCTGCTCTGGTCAGGAGATGCCTGGTTCAGAGCAACCTGCTGTGCTATGGTGGAGATGTTGCCTAGTCTTTGAATTCCCTTCTCCACCTTTTGTTCCCTTTTGTTTGCAGTGTATGTAATTATTCCATAGCTGATTTTTTTTTTCCCCAGTCTTTGTGAGCTGCACAGCGCTGTGCCCTCTTCAGTGTCAGGAATTCATTTTGGTGTCTGAATTCCCAAGTAAAAACTGCTGCTCTCTGGGGGACCCCAGAAGAATACCTGTAAGCATGACATTTGTGTACTTTCAGTGGGAAAGATCTTCAGAGAAGAATCTGTTAAACAGTGTATCCAACAGCATCCACAGAAAGACCTTGAATGTCTGTGTGTTCCTAGATGATTTCTCTTTGCTCATGTCTATTTACTGTGTTTTGTTTCTCACAATAATAAGAAAAATGAGTGAAAACCAGAAACCACCTGTTGATCTGTCCTGTTACTGCTGATCATGTTGTCTTCCTGACAAGGACATCGTGACTACTCATCTTGTGCAGGAATCCTTCTAGGAGTGTATGGAATGTGTGGAATGCATTTTATTTTATGTCTAAGTCTTGGAAGCAAATGGAATGTTCTTTAGAGACAGAAGAGTGATTTGCTTTCCAATTTTAGATCTGAGAAGAGACTGACTGTCCCACCATGGTTTCAAAAGGAGTTGCAAGTTCACCTGTCCAGAAGCTCTTCCACGGAGTCAAGTGGTATGTCCACTAAGAAATTATTTGTTGACTACTCAGAGTGGGTGTCATCTTAAATCCATCTTAGTAGTTGTTTTGAATAAAGATGGGTTTGGATGAGGAATCAAGTTCTTTGAGTGAACCTTTCCACTCTTACTTCATTGTGCTGAGGAAATGTATGCTTGTCTGCCTCTTAGTCTTCTAGGAAAAACATTGGGCAGTAAGTGTCAAAGCCAATCACAAAGCCAGTGTGAGGAGTTTGGAAACAGGAGGAATAAGCTTAACTTTACCAGTGGGGTAAGAATTTGGTATTAGGATGAAATCCTGGCTTTCAGGAGTAAGCAGCATTACTAATGTATCTGTCCAGCAAATACTCTTTTGCCTGTGTGGCTCAGTAGTTATGCAGCTGATGGGCTTGCAAAATGACAGTTGCTTTCTTTGAGACTTGTCAGCCTGATTTGTGAAGCTTCAGGTCTGGTAGCAAATATACCCCACCAAAGGGAGGAAAGGAATAGAGATGAGGCAGCAGGTAAGCTAGGGATGTGAACCTCCCCCTGGAATAATGACTACCTACACACAATGTATGAAACTGCCCAGAGTAGCTGAGCAGTTGTCACTTTCCTTGCTCCACTGGAGGGCTTCCTTGGATGCTGTAGCACAGAAAAGCTGCCTCCTGGGTGGAGACTTTTCTTCAGGACGTATATTGGAATGATAGGCAAATCATTGGTCTTTTTTGTATACCTGTCTGAAAACAAAAGAACGTTCTTGGTTGTCGTGCAATATCTTTGTGGTGTTTATGCTCATGAAGAAATTATCTTGTGCCCCTCTTGGGATACTGCCTTAGTGCACTGTCTCAGCTGCACTGGGGCTGACAGTTCTGTATCCTCTTCCAGAATACTTTCAGAAGGAATATGTAGCAACATCTTATGAAAATAACTACAGTGATTGAAAATTCATTTTTGGGTTGTTAATGTATGAGATTTACATAGTTCTTTGCCATAGGAAGTGACTGAACCAGCCATGCTGGGCAGGAGAGCCACATTTTAGAGTTGGTGCTGTGCTGGCAGCTCCCATGTTTAGTTTTTAAATACGGAGGTAATTATGTGTCTTTCTGTTTGTCGGGCTGTGTTTACTTCAAGGCTGCAATATTTTTTTTAACAGATAGCTTGAATACATCCACTGCAGAGACGCATATTGTTGCCCCTGGCTATTCTGCTGCCAATGTCAATGAACTTCAAAGTCGCATTAAGGAGCTGCTGAGCAAGTACAGCAGCGGTGTCAGACTGTCAAAGATGCCTGAGATATATCAGGAAATGTACTGGGAGGACCTTAGCACAGAAGTGCTCTATCAGCTTGAGAACTGGCCTCATGTGTGCACAGTAAGTATTGAGCCATTTTTTTGGAAAATGCCAGTACCCTATAGATTTCTGAGTGTTCATTTGCCGAAAGCTATTTTATGTGTACCTGCATTTCCCTTCATGCTTTGTAGCAGTGACAACCCTCACAACCCCACCACTGCACTCTCAAATTGTAATCATTCCTTTTGAAACCCCAGAAAATCACTGTTGGCTGGACTTGTGTTTTGAACAAGGAAGGTCAGCCTTCATGGTGTTCTGGAGCTGAGATTGCTTGAGATTGCTGACTTGCTACCTTTAACTAACCCCAGTACTGACAGTTCTAATAACTGATGACAGGTGATCTCCATGCCATGTTTGTTGTTCTTGATCTGGGTATTTTCCCCAGTTGCTTTTTATGCTTTTCCTTGTTGGTGGGTTTACCTCCTCTTAAAGCTACAAGCTACCAACATCCTTTGTGAATAGTCTGAGGTCTAACTATATTTATTTTTCTATAGACTTTTCCAGAGGTCTTTCTCACATCTTAAGCCAAGGAATTTTGCTGTTTAAGTTAGGTTTATGATACAATAATAGATGAAATTGAAGAGTAGTAATGCTGGGGGGAGAGATTACAGCTAAGCCCCTTTCTGCCCTCCTTCTGATGGCTGTTAACCCTTGTTTACAAGGGTGTCATTGCATCTCGTATTAGGAACTGGTATCTGCCTGAGTGTCCACTTAGAGGTCTAACATGAGTTGCCATCACCACAGGGTAGAGGGGCTTCAGCTACTGTGCTTCTGTCTCTTCTTCTGCATTTACAAGTCATTTGTGCTGTCATGCAACTTTGCATCAAGGCTTTGTTTAGCTTTAACAGGCCAGTGATATCAATGAAAACTTTCAACTTCTTTTGTATCTGTCAAACTGGGCACAGAAGAGTATTGAAATAATAAGAATCTTTGTCTTCTTGAAGTACATTTTTTGCATGTCCTATTGAGTCTTTCTCATGTAAAAGCATTAAATAAAAAAAAAAAAAAAAAAAAAAAAAAGAGAAAATAACTGAGATGAATAGCTGATTTTCAGGAACAACACTATTTGCATGAATGTCTGGTATTCTCACAGATACAGAAAATGTAACACCTTACTACAGATACTAGAAATGTATGCAGTCAGCAGCAATTTGTTTTGATGGCTGATGATTGGTTCCTGTGTTATCTACAGAGCAAGCTGGTATGCCTTGAATTGCTTCATTCATGCAGCAAATTTTAGTCTTTTTTGTAGCTAATGTTCCAGTCAGTCCTGTTCATCCAGGATCTTTGTTCTGTGTTCATTATCCATTTGCTTGTTATCTGTTGGGTCTATATCTTTCATTCTAGCATGCAAATAAAGTCATTTAAGCATAAGTAAACACTGATTAAATCCATGGAAACATTGTAACACAACTGGCACAGTACAACAGCAGTCAGAACTATCAAGTTATCTTGGCACAATTAGTCTTGTTGTAGAGAACTATTAATGAGCTTCTGAAGCCCATCCTCAGTTTATTGACTTACAAAATTGTAATTATGGCTCAGGCATGGAGAAGTTTGAACTGGGACTTCTTATATGAAAGCTACTATATATCTCTTAAATATAATCAGTCCCTGGTTCAAACATATTGTCTGCAGATGTACATCTTTGTAGAACCTTTGAAATGCAGAAGACAGACTGTACTCTCCAATGAAAGTAAAGATATCTGATATCTGAATTATTTGTGTCATGTTGGTTTCTTACACTGGGAGTGTCTGCCAGGCTCAAAAACATGCCTGTTGTTTCTTTTATTATCTTCTTAAAGAATTACATTTTTGTACTCATTGTGATCAGTGTAACATAGTTACAAACCAGCAGACAACAAACTTGCTACACTTTCAGTGTCTCCAAGCTTTTAATTTGAGGACTGTGCTTTGGAGAGTATTGCTTCTGAATAACTTTGCATCTCTAAAACTTCTGTTGAAAACAGGAATTTTATCTAGGAAATTGTAATATCCATGTTTTTACAACCATAGGTAATGGACATTTTTCCTATTTAGTTAGTTCAAGTCTCCAAATATCACTGTAAGTTGCAGGTTGATGATCTTGTTTTTAGTCTTCAGTGTTCAGGCAGGAGGAGGTACTGAGGCTGACTTTGTCTCTATTTGTCTGTTACCTCCCCTCTTTAGGTCAGATTGGTTGAGCATCTTACTTGTAGCACATATTTTGCACAGCTAAATGCAAAAGTACAAAGTTACCAAGTAGTGGCTAGGAGTCACACATTGTAGCCAAGCCTTCATGAGCAGTGGGGCTGACACTAAATATGCTTTATTGTCTAGACAGACCTCAGCCCGGAAAAGTGTCAGCTTCAACAGCTCTGGGCAGATCCACAGTGTTGCTGAATTGTTTGCTTTCACCTCCAGCACTTGTGCTTTGAAAAATGTGGTGACTGGCAGTGACCCTCCCACCTTCATCTTTTTTTTATCAGAATTTTTTACCTGTTTGACTAATTACTTTGTCATGTGTCTTTGAGCAGCTAGTGATCCCTATTTTACTCTTGCAACTATTGTTCCATTTCTTATCCTTCTGCGTATTTTTGTCACAAGTCTTTCTCACACCTTGGCTGTTTTCTTACAATTCTAAGTCAAAGCTATATAGTTCTACTGTGTTTTAGCTCAGCCTTGAATCCTTGGGATGCAGGCAGCTGAACTTGAGGGAGAGAGAGCATTGCAGCAGAGGTGTGAGAGGCATGTAGGCATGTAAATTAAAAAGTTCTTTTTTTTTTTTTTTTTTTTTTTGGTAAGTCACAACCAAAAATTAATAATAAATTTGTATTTGGTACTGGCAACATGACAAAATGGTTCCCTTTGCAGTCAAAATATAAATCTCCTTACTGAATTGTATGTATGTTTAAGGGATTTTTCTCCTTTTACATGCTCAGCTCTCCTCAGTTGCTTGAACTTTGTAATTCAGGCGTGACGTGATGGTGATGCAGATATAGCAGTGCAAGAGAAACCCAAACTCTTAGATCTTTTCTCAAAACTTTTACTTGAATTTCCATGTTTTTTTTTACAAAAGCTTTTAGAGAATTAGGCAGTCCTAGGACATTAGGGAATGTCCTTGCATGGAAGTTTAGTTGGTTTAAAGACTGGAAATGGAGAAAGCATGGAATGATTTACTTTCAGAAAGGCAGGAAGTCATGGTGGGATTCCTCAGGAGTAACATTTGGGCATATGCTGGTCAGAATTGTAACAAGTGAGTTGAATAAGGATACAAATACAACTTCAGCTGGCTAATAATAATGGGTTGTTCAACGTTATAAAGACCAGGGCTCTCTGCAGCTCTATGTAACCTCCTCATACCGTGTTTCTGGCCCATAAAATTTCATTGTAATCTTAATTACAGCCATGGACAGAAAGGCAGAGTTTGTGCACTGCCTGATCTCCTTTTCAGTGAAGAAATTCCTCTTAATCTCCAACCTGAACCCCACCCCCAGTGCAGCTTGCATCTGTGTCCTTTTGTCCTGTCACTGGTTGCCTGGGAGAAGAGATGGACCCCCACCTGGCTACAGCCTCCTCAAAGGGAGTTGCAGAGAGTAATAAAGTCACCCCTGAGCCTCCTCTCCCTCAGGCTGAACAACCCCAGCTCTTTCAGCCACTCCTCATAGGATTTACCTTCTCCAGCTCCAGCCCTTCACTGCTCCTTCACCCTCCTCTGGACTTGCTCCAGCATCTAAATGTATTTCTTGTCATGAGGGGCCCAGAACTGGACACACAGCTTGAGGTGTGGCCTCACCAGTGTTGAATATTGAGGGACAATCACGGCCCTGGTCCTGCTGGCCACACTATTGGTGATACAAGCCAGGATACCATTGGCCTTCTTGTCCACCAGGTGCTATTGACCAGCATCCCCTTTTTTGCTGGGCAGCTTTCCAGGCATTCTACCCCAGCCTGCAACACTGCATGGAGTTGTGACCCAAGGGCAGGACCCAACACTTGGCCTTAGTGAACCTCACACCTTTGCCCTTGGCCCATTGATCCAGCCTGTCCAGATCCCTCTGCAGAGCCTTCCTGCCCTCCAGCAGGCCAACATTCCCACAGTTTGCTGTTATCAGTGAATTATGCTGAGAGCACAGTCAATCTCATACAGATCACCAGTAAAGATTTTAAACAGGATTGGGCCAAATACTAATTCCTGAGGAACACCACTAGTGACCAGCCCCCAGCTGGATGTGACACCATTCACCTCCACTCTCTGGGCCTGACTGTACAGCTGGTTTCTAACCCAGCAAAGAACACTGCTGTCCAAGCTGTGGGCTGCCAGCTTTTCCAGGAGTGTGCCATAGGCTTTGCTCAGCTCTAGGTAGACAACATCCACAGTCTTTCCCTCACCCTCTGGGGCAATCACCTGGTCATAAAAGGACATCAGGTTGTTCAGATGAGACCTGTCTCTCCCCAAATCTGTTCTGTCTGGCCCTGATGCCTTGGTTGTCTGGCACGTGCTATATGTTCACACTCAAGGTGCTCTGTTCCATAGCCTTTGCCAGGACCAAGGTCAGGCTGACAGGCCTGTAGTTCTCCACATCTTCTTTCTAGCCCTTCTTGTGGGTGGGCATCACATTAGCCAACCTCCAGTCATCAGCCTCCTTGGTTATCCAGTGATAAATGATGGAGAGCAGCTTGGCAAGTGCTTCTTCCAGGTCCCTTAAGTACTCTCAGGTGAAGCTCATCCTGTTCCATAAAGTTGTGAGCGTCTGAGTGGCACAGTGGGTCACTTAACAGCCAAACAGCCCATCATCCATCAGGACAGATGGATCCTGTCAGACCCTATCATACCTTGTACCTCCTTGTTCTTCCATGTTTATAAAACCCAAAGTTTTGGTGAAAGCAGCAATCCTAGAGCAAATATTTTTGTAGAATGAATAACAGGCAGATTGACAGAATTGACAGAATGAAGAGATGTATGCATATTGAATGGATTCTGGAGTTGTCTTGTGGTAATGACTGCCTTAGTCTTTCTGCTTATTTTCTGAAGGAGCTGG